CTCCCAGCCTGGCAGGAAGGGGCTCCAGCCTGACCACCCTGCTCCTGACCTTCCTCTGGTAATTACCATCCTTACTAAGTTTATTTTTTTTTTGTCAGAAGTGGTAGCAGCATTGGAATAAACACAGGAGAAATGGACTAGGATATAAATATTGCTTCTGACTCAACTTCCTAAGTGTTTGTCACACATGTTAACGAGCTTAATCATACTCCCTAGGATGTAACGCTCATCCAAAATGAGGGCAAAGCATCATTCTGGTGCCAAAAATGCAATCCTCTTCCAAGCCGGTTCACCAGCTTGCTAGAGAGGAAAAAGGACTAAGAATGATACTGTAAAAGTAAAGAAATGTCTGTACTGAATTGTTTGATCTCTAACAGGGTGATTTTTAGGCTCAGACTATATCTAAAGAATAAATACTTTTCTGAACAACTTTGATTTTACATGTTGCCAAGACTGTTTTTGTGTACCATTTTGCACTTCAAAATGACAAAGTCCATCCTCAAAATCCCTAACTTGCACCACCACAAAGCTCAAACAAAAGCCGATTTTGTAAGGAAGCGATGCCAGGAATAATTCCAATTAGTCTTTTGAGGAAGTCTGGACACACAGAGAAGCACAACATGTTGCTGTTCCTAGGAGTTATTTGCAGCACCCTGCAGAAGCCTCCTCTCTGGCTATTCAATACAGTCAGATCCTGCTTTCATCCTTTTGTATGCTTCTCACCACAAAAATGCAAGCACTTACATTTTATATGTTAAGCTTCCATACATTGTACCTAATAAATGCATCTCAATTTTTTTTCTTATGCTATAAGTAGTAGCAAAATCACTCTCATCAGCAATGTACGTTCAACAGTAGTTGTAACTAATGGAGTCTTATTTAATATGCAAGATGCACACAGATAATCTGCATTTTGAGTTTAACCAAGACCGTGCCAAATTTGCCATGTTGTCCACATCTACCAAGGAAGATGCACCAGCACACAAAGCTGATAGTCCCACTAACTCCCAAGCACCTGAGCCGTCTCCTCAGCATTAGTTAACACAAATTTTAAGTGTCTGTACAATCCTCTAATTTGGGATTTATTTTAATTTTGATTGTATTTGGCATTTTATTCCACCCTGTAATTTTCACAACCGCAAGTAGTTTTGCATAAAAGGAAATGATGAATACTTCTTTTTTCTTTAAAACTTTATTAAATTATGCAGTAAGAACCCATCTCCACACAGGTGTGTCACTTCTGGATAGCAGAGGTATAATACATGAGCCACAGGTGAGTGCATCATCCCTCCCTTCCCCCCAGCTTCCAAGAATAAAACAGCATGTACAATACACTCTTGCTACTATGGTACTCCAAACCAATTCTTTGTAAGGTTATTTTTTTAACTGGAGGAAAAGAAAAAGGACTAACAGTGTCAAGTGTCTGGTTCTGCATACAGCTGCTTTCCACTGCAAGGTTCCAGCACCTCTCCTGCACTGCACGGCCCAGCAGAGGGTTCAGGGAGCAACAGCAGTGGAATGCACCTTGCACAGGTATCGCTCGATACAAAGCCTGTGACTTCTCTATTCAGGCAATCAGAATGCAAAAAAGGCCTGTAGAAAATTCTTACACTTCAAAGTGCATGTCCACAAAAAATTGGCAACGGGAGAAAGTGAATTCTAAACCCTACTGAGGAGACAGAGCAGCTAGCATAGTGCAAATACTGAAAACAATACAAGCTTGTTTATTTCTTATGCCTGGTGTTAGCTGAAATCTGAATTTATGTTATCTGAAAATTACTCTCTACACAGACAACAGCTGCAAATCCATTCAGTTAAATTAATTTTATGCCAGTAGTGAGCTTGGCTCAAATCCTTTAATACTTAGATATTGATTGAAAAAATGCAGTATTTAAAGTGTGGTTTTTTACTCTGAAAGGTGACTAAAATGGCATAAAGGATCTTCCCACATTTTTCATTTTTCAGAAACTGTGCGTGATGAATTCATCAAGTTTACAAAAGAGAAACTTTTTATACATAGCTATGCAAGTTTATCTGGCTTGAGAACACCAGTGTGCACTTCTGCCTTAGCTATCAGCACCTGTAAGATTCTGCAATTGTAACTGAATTGTTAGATTTATCTGCTCTAAGAAAAGTAAGCTGCCTTTTCCTAAAGGTGCCCCAATCAGGAAAGGAAAAAGTCTTTTAGACATCTGGCAGACAAGCAGGACGTTGATCTATGTAAGAAGATGCCCTTTTTAGAGAGACTTTTCTGACCATCATAACACTTGGAGTGCAGAACCGATTCAAAAAACGAAAAGACCTTGCTGGCAGATTGACTATGGATGCATTATTGAACAACCATCTCTAGAAGTAATATGGCAAAGGAAAATACTTTGCAGAAGTCTTTACAGATCTAGTTAACAAAAATTGGAGAGTCCTTCATTTCCTGGATTATATATATACCCCCCTGTGAGCTGAAGCACTATAATTTACAAGTGTAAACTAAAAGTATTAGGAAAGTGAAGTAAAAAGCGTATCACTCTACCTCCACCAGAACATCACTTTATTGTTTATCTGTCATCAACAATGTAAAACTCTACTAGATACTCTATCCTGGTTTTTAAAAAGGTAAAGATTACATTGGATTAGCTATGTTGTACGAAAGAAACTACAGCAATCACAGTAGAATGAGATTGGAGGGACAATTCGAATTACAAAAAGGTGTACACTGCAAGCAGAGGGAAGTGCACATGAAATCAAATGCCTGTAGGATTCATTACTTTTAAATGCACAGTGACAATTTTGAGAAACTGTACATAACAGAATCACAGAAATGACTTTTAGAATAACCAAAATTACATTTTGCATTTGACCATCCAACTTATAAGTCATCATTGATGTTCTCTTATTTTCAGTGCTTTTGGAAAATGTTTACCAAACAAAATTCAAGTTGTTAATTTGACTCAACTGTGAAGTAGAAGGATTGAAATGAAAAGTATATTGGAAGTACACCTAGCCTACAAGAATAAGCCAAGAGGGGTGTATGCAAGGAGAGGCTGGGAGGGAGGAGAGAAAGGAAAGAGGGGAGGGAGAAGAGAACAAAGGCTTTTTCTTCTATCTCAGAAGTTCTTCCAATGCAGCGTGTATCTGATGTACAGCTCTCTGCTTTCAGTCCATTTCTGAAGTTTACATTTTGTAGCCTTTTTCCGCACTAACTGGTCGACTCAACCAGCACCGTTGCCATGGCAACAAGAGTAACAAGAATCTGAATGCATCAAATCTTCCCTTGCTGTGATTTCTTCATGGCCCCATTTTTTCTGTTTTTCTTTGAACAGGGTTCGGTGTTTCCTGAATTGTTCACAGGGTCAGGTGGAATTGAGTTCCAAATCACTCTGCGGTTTGTAGCATCCCGATTTCTTTCTGCAGCTTAACCCCCAGACACGTTGGCAGTTCTTCCGGAGCAGAAAGACAAACCGTGTTGTTCAAGCAGTGAGCTTTCACCCTTGACCTTGGGGGTTGCAGACCATTGTGTTTAGCGTATCCCTGAGTGCAGCTATCCTGCAGGATTCACTTCCCAGTGCACCGAGATTTCCTAGGTTTCCTCAGATTAAGCCCCAGTATGCATCACCACCGGCTGTGGTGCGGCTACGGATGCCTGAGGCCGAGTTGATTCTGGTGGATGTCTGACCTCGCTGAACCAGACTGATCTGCGTTCTCCCTACTCATACCCAGGCAGTCCAACCTTCATACAGCTGAGCCAAGTTATCTAGATTAGTTGCTTCCTTAATCACAAAGTCAACCTATTAAAAAGGTCAAACAAGGAATTAAAAATAAAGATAGGTTTTTCAAAGCGTTCAAGCGATCTTAAAATCTAGTGAGGAACGGCACCTGCAAATGCTGAATTTCAGTGAAAAAACCTATAGTAATGGTGCACTTGATCCTACACAGCTTTGTGCAGTACATGTAAGAAACAGGAATTTGTACTGCAGGGGCAAATATGGTCACACATCAGCTCATTTATAGCCCCCATCTTGAATACAGTCACAATAATCTCAAATTTACGTGGACATCTTGGGTCTCCTGACTCAGTTTCTCAGAGACAGGAGCACAGTTGTGTTGCACTAGTCAACACAGACAAGTTCTGTTCTTCCAACAGCTGCACAGATCTCATGTTCTCCCTAGGTAAGTAATGTTAGCTGACTGATACACAAAAGGCAATTTAATAATCAGCTCATTAAATTTATATAATTCTGCAATATAGAAAACAAAAGCATTTGATAAAACACAAAAAGAATGCAGCAATAGAAGGCAGCAGCATAACTTGATTTACATTGGAATGTAAGTGACTCACTCAA